TTAGAGGTTCTAGATATTCATTCTTGTGAAATTTATGCATGTAAACTGCCCCCACGATACATGAGAAAATCCAAGTGCGGAGGTAACGTTTTAGAAAATCACCCACTACATAGAGTGACGACCTGATAACACACGCAGGTAGACGATGGATGCAGGTCGGCGAACTTGTGGTCACATATTTACGCCTCAAATGCCTTACATACGGTCCATTTCCAAGTCCCGCCAAGGTCATGCACGATGCACGAGGCAATACGACAATAAGTTGAAGTTCGTCAATTTACATACTTATAAAATAACAGCTTAATACTACTGTGTTTCCATACGGTGTGTAGAGAACTCTTCTGCAGGCTGCCGCCGTGTTTGGCACTATAGGTCAGCCGATTGGGATGGGATGCGGTCTTTCTTTGCATCCTACCCTTGGGGGCGGGTTTGCTTCTCGCCGGACGATCCCAACGTTGTTGCGGATTCTGTCGCTGATGTGGTACTTCAGGTTATGGAACTTTTTATTCCTTCCTCTGTGGTGCCCATTGGAGGCAAATCTCGGCCATGGTTTGGTCGCTCCTGTAAAATAGCATCATGCTATAAGCAGGAGTGCTACCAGGCCTGGGCTGACGCATCAGCGTCCAGGGATGTAAACACCAGCGCTCTAAAAAGAAGTATAATTCCGCCTCTAGGTCCTTCAAAAGAGTCATTGCCAAGGCAAAGTCAGAGCACATAGGCAGAATTGGCGAGAAACTAGTTCGTCTTCCTTCTGGAACCCGTACATTCTGGTCTCTCGCCAAGGCTGTCCAGGGGAATTTCTGTCAGCCATCTCTTCCATCTCTGCACAGGGAGGACGACTCACTGGCCCACACCGCAAAGGAGAAAGCCGATCTTCTAGGCTCTTTCTTTGCGTCTAACTCGACTCTCGATGACAGGGGGAGTACGCCGTCGACCATCCCGCGGTGTGAGTGCTCCATGCAGGAAGTGCAGTTCACTCAGCGCTCGGTTCGCAAAGCACTCCTCTCCCTGGACATCCACAAGTCGAGTGGGCCTGACGGAATCCCCCCAATTGTGCTGAGGACGTGTGCTCCAGAGTTGGCACCGGTTTTAACGCGTTTTTTCCGGTACTCCTACTCCCTAGGCGTAGTCCCAAAATCGTGGAAGACGGCTTTCGTCCACCCGATCCCTAAAAAAGGCGACCGCTCAGACCCGTCCAACTACCGGCCTATCGCCATCACCTCCTTGTTCTCCAAAACAATGGAGTCCATTGTAAACTGCCAGCTCATGAGGTACCTTGAGGATCACCAGCTGATTAGTGACCGCCAATACGGTTTTCGCCGTGGTAGGTCAGCTGGTGATCTTCTGGTCTACCTAACTCACAGATGGGCGGAGGCAGTAGAGTCCAAGGGGGAGGCATTGGCCGTTAGTTTGGACATTGCGAAGGCCTTCGATCGGGTTTGGCACAAAGCGCTTCTTTCGAAGCTCCCTTCCTATGGGCTTCCCGAGAAATTGTGCGATTGGATCACCAGTTTTCTTGCAGATCGGAGCATCAAGGTCGTTGTAGACGGTGCAAGCTCCGATTGCAAGCCTATTAATGCTGGTGTTCCACAGGGCTGCGTGCTATCGCCAACGCTGTTTCTTCTGCATATCAATGATATGTTGCAGACCCGTAACATTCATTGCTATGCAGATGACAGCACTGGTGATGCTCTTTACACCGGCCGAGCCAATATTTCTCGGGAAAACGTCTCCGAGTGCCGGGACAAACTTGTGTCTGAAGTCGAGTCTCTGCTGGACAGAGTCTCGGATTGGGGGCGACTAAATCTAGTCCAGTTTAACCCCCAGAAGACACAAGTTTGCGCGTTAACCGCTAAAAAGAACCCCTTTGTCGTATCCCCTCAGTTTCAAGGCACTCCCCTTGTTGCCTCAGCCAGTATCGGAATCCTCGGCGTCGACATATCGAGTGACGTGCAGTTTCGTGGTCACTTGGAAGGGAAGGCCAAATTGGCCTCTATAAAGCTTGGCGTGCTCAGCAGAGCGGGACAGTATTTCATGCCGGCACACCGCCTGCAACTTTACAAGGCGCAGGTTCGGCCGCACATGGAATACTGTTCCCATCTCTGGGCTGGGGCTCCCCAGTACCAGCTCCTTCCACTTGACCACATCCAGCGCAGAGCGGCTCGAATCGTCGACGACCGAGTGCTTTCCGATCGGCTCGATTCTCTGGCACTGCGAAGAGATGTTGCATCCCTTTGCATTTTCTTTCGCATATACCATGGAGAGTGCTCTGAGGAATTGTTCGGATTAATCCCAGCCGCCAAATTTCGTGAACGCACTACGCGGCAAACGTCCCGATACCATCCACACCATCTGGATGCTTGGCGGTCCACCACTGTACGTTTCAAAAGGAGTTTTCTTCTGCGTACAACCTCTCTGTGGAATAATTTACCACCAGCGATTTTTCCGGACCGATACGACTTGGGGACCTTCAAGAAAAGAGCTTACTCCTTTCTAAAGGGCCGGCAACGCGTCTGCAATTCCCCCTGGTGTTGCAGTTGATCATGGGCGGCGGTAGTCACTTAACATCAGGTGAGCCACATGCTCGTTTGCACCCTCTTCTATAAAAAAAAAAAAAAAAAAAAAACTAGAGACCCTTTTTACAGGAAACGATGCATTCTATCGTAGTCCCCAGGGGTGACAACGCATCTGCATTTTGTAAATGTAGATGTCTATGGGCCACAGCATCCACTTAACATCAGATGGACTTTGTGCTTGTTTATCACCCCATACAATAAAAAAACAATGAATAGTCATTTTATGTGGCTGTTTTACCAATAGACATCTCCATCTATCATCGATTAAGAATCAACTGCAGTTGCGTTGTCAATCCTGAGGACTGAGATGGAATGCCTCGTTTCCAGTAGAAAGGATATCCGGTGTTTTACAGTTATACAAAACACAGCAGCATTTAGCTTCTATTTTACGCTAGTATTTTGTAGGTTAATCCATCACCAGTCGATGCGAACTATTTGTGATACAAACATCATATAGCTGTACATAGCTCTACCACGTAAAAAGACGCTTTCAGAAAAAAACTTATTTTTTGTTTTGTTTCTTTATGAACTTCGGAATGACTTTTGAATAATTATTATGACCGTTAGGCTTAGCACGCACTGCGATTAAACGCGAGCGGTTTAAGAATAGCTGAAAACGCAAAACCGCATATGAACACGACGGGGGAGTTTTGCTTAATTTTATTTCAGTATCACCATGGATTTCGGGCGAGTAGCTTGTGTTGTGTCTTTGGTTTTTAAATTAAGAAATAGAAAACATAAACAACGGCGATGCCATAAGTACTGGGTACATCCACTAACAGATAAAAGACGCATCTGAAAGGCAATACTTTTGCTACTAATTAGTACCGCAAAAAACGACTGACCTCTGCGTCACTCGTCTAGTCGAAACCGAATACGGTTCACCGCAGTGCGTGCGCCGCCATACTATTACTATGGTACACATAAAAATCTCGCGTTTACAAACCGCGATTGAAATGTAGCAAGTTACGTTTTTAAAATCAGTCACTGAAAAAAGTCGCTAATGCGTGCGCTTGTATAGAAAGCTATGTGTTAAATTTTTTGTGGTTTCAGGGTGCGTGCTAAGTTCAACAGCCTAAAGTTACTGCTGAACAGAGGTCTACCCGTAGATTAGTAGAGATATTTGCCACAGTTGCCACACTTGGCAAACGGCTTGGCAACCGCAGATTTTACTTTCTGGTTAGACGACGCTGCTGTGCATGTCATATTTGGTTTCCCTCTGTCGCTTGTTACGACATCCACGGAACGATATGATATTCTTACATCGCCAATACACGGTACTTATAACTAATTATTGTATACTTTCTTAAATGAATATGTTATATACGTGGTAGAGCCATGTTTCAGTTATATTAGTAATATAGGTGTAGATTGAAAGGGTCGGCTTGACCGGGGAAGGACCACGCTCTCACAGAATATCAGCGTAAAATAGTAGCTTAACGCTGCTGTGTTTCGTATGGCGAGTGTAGAGAATCGAAGACCCTTTTTACAGGAAATGAGGCATTCCATCTTAGTCGTCACGGGTGATAACGCATCTGCATTTTGATTCGTAATCGACGTTATATGTTGGTATCTATGGGCCACAGCAACCATTTACCATCAAGTGAACTGTGTGCTCGTTTTTCACTCTATACTATAAAAAAATAAGTTATTGCATTCTAGCGATCGCTGTGATGTAGATACTTAGCTTTCGACCCCGCCCTCCTAGGCCGGTCTGGTTATCCTACGTCTGTATGACACCACCATCCATTGAAAGTCAAAAAGTCTTTCTAGACTTTGCCAAAGCTGCTTTTTAAGATATCTACTGGTCTCAGTAAACCAATGAATTCACTCACATAGCCACCAAACGGCTACATTTTAAAATAATTCAAAAGGGTGTTTCGCGTATTTCGTGCAAATTTCATGACATTTGGGAAAGTCTAATTTATTGCCGAATAACTTCGTTTTTTCTCCTAATATCTTTATTATCCATAAAATCCTTCAACTTTTTGTGGTTTCTACCTTCCTTGTACAGATAACAATAAAATTACTATCATATCAAAAATCGTAATGAAACGGTAATGAGAACGTCAAGGAGGGGATTGATATTGAGTAGTTAAGTTAAAGGATAAGGATGATGAGGGATTTTCATCGTAAACGTGGGGAACATAAGCTTTCTAAAACACCCGTCCTGTTAGATTGTTTTGGTATTTTATTTGTATTAAGACATTTTATCAACAAGTTGGCATTAATATGAACTTTGCGAGCACACGTATTTCTACTGGACTCCTTTGGCTATAAAACCCAAAATGGGCGATATTTACAATATCTTTGATACGTTACTTTGACATTCGAATTATACGTAAAATTTTTGTACAAATTAGTCAATATGTCCGTTAAGTATCTTTTCTGCTTCCTTATTTGGTTTTTAGTTATATATTCTTTTTAATCAGCTGCAATTCTAGTCATCTCCTCATCGTCAAAAAACTCCAAAATTAGTTTCTCTTTCAAGTTTTCATTTTTAGCTGTCTTATTTTCTTTTTTATCTCTTACTGTAAATTTTTTTTGTGTCAAGAGTTTATATTTTTTAAACTTTTCCTTTTCCGTCATAATCACATTAGAGAATTCTTTCTTATCCTTTTTCCTCAAGCACTTGTACCCTTCTCCAACACTTCTTGAAAGTATTTCACCAAACATTTGTCGCTCTTTAATTTCTTCACGCTTTTGTGTATTAACATTTTCTACTAATTGTTCTACTTTTTCTTCAGTCGATATATTTTCATTTTTCTTCTTATTTTTCATTATTCTATTTTTTCTATTGCCTTTTTTCTGTTTCTTCGTTTTTTTCTATTTTTTGTTTGAAAATGCCTATTTCTTTTTTATGTAGTTAGCGAATCTTTCTCTGAAGAATACTTTCTTTAGGCACCCTTGACAAGAATTACTATTACCGTAATCCAAAAGATTTATATATGAATTAGGTATGAGGCTTAGAGCTGATTGAGTGAGAGGATCATGTTCAGCTAGATGTACTTCATTGTCACTATTTGGTGGAGAATTATCTATTAACAACTGTTGAATAGCTTTTTCTTTCTTTTTTATTTCATAATGACGTTTTGAATTAACTCTTCACTTCTTCCTCTGAACTCTCAAGTCTAGGTGTCATATCTTTTGCGCTACTTATTTGTTTCTGTTCTTTTTCTTTTAAGGTATGTCAGATCTGTATACTTTTCAGGATCTTCCTTAATTTCTGCATACTTTCTTTGTTTTTGTAATCGATCGCACTCTCGTTTCTGCTCTAATGTTTGTCTGGCTTTCTTTGGCATTATTAGTTCTTAATAATCTGTAACAACACATTATATCATATTGCTCGTATTCATCATATCAAGCTCATCATTAATAAGTAAAGTAATAAAAAGTACACTCACGGTTGGTATATTTATAAACAAACTTAAAGCTACATTAAGAAACAAAGTAAAAACTATAAATTCTTTATTTTATTATGAATGAAAGTATTATTAAACTGTATCGTAGTAGTATTATTGTGGAAAGAAAATCTCAACTACGGGTGGGACTAGAACTCGCGACCACACGGTTTGCAATGTAATAATGCACTGTAATAAATAATAATAAATTGACGTAAAATTGATTCTAATTGTCATCGTTTTGACCTCATCACCATCGCTAAAAAAACGACGGTAAACGAAGGTAGTGAGGACGTAGGTAATGAGGTTTTTATTCTTATCCAATTGTTTCGTAAAGAATATCAAAATTACGAATCTCGTGCTTATTTTAAATTACGGCGGTAATCACTAGAATTGATAATTAACTACATATTAAACAAAATCATTAATACTCACTTAATAATATGGACGACAAGAAAGAGGACGATTCTAGAATAATCACCTCCCGCGAAACTTCACACGTAAATATTTTTTTCCACGAACGGGCGTGAACCCTCTACGACGTTCGTTGGCTGGCTGAGACTTGTGCGGGGCGCGGCATGGTGGTATAGCGACATTCACGCCAATACGCGAACTATAATTTAGATTTTTACTAAAACCGATGGTAATCAGAAAATTTTTTTGATAAACATTTATGAAATAGAATTTCTTTATATTGTGGGGTTATCTTTATTTATTTTAAGTGTAAACGTTGTGATTTTAATAAAGTTTCATAATATGGTTATTTTTTATATTTAATGTTTATATTTTTGGTTAAAAATACAATTTTTTTAGAAGAGTAGTAAATGAACACCGAAGATAATGAGAATTATTGAAGTTTTTTATTTATCATTAACTTATTACGTTATATTTATCTGTAAATATTACATGCATGTAAGCATAACCTTTTTACATTTGATTTCCTTTATAAGAAATGTAGATATTTAATAAGGCTTTTCTCCTGGACGTGTAATGTGCTCGAAAAATGAGAAACACCCAAAATTGTTTTGAATGTTTCTTGTAACTTTTTCTCTGTTTATTATCATTCCCATCATCGTCATAATTTTCTACGTATCCCATCCATTACAGCCTATAAAAGCCGTTAAAGGGTTTTTTATTATTGTAGCCACGCTTGGCAAGCGGGTTGGCAACCGTAGATTTCTTATAATTTTTTACTATTTCAAGAATTTGCTGCTGCTGAACTCTGTTTTAGTTTATTCTGTCGCCTGTTATGACTACACACATTTACAATTTTCTCACACAATTTTCTTTGTATATATGTTATTAGCTACTAACCCACTTTACGCGGTGATGGGATACCTTTCAGTCCAGGAGTCCATCTGGGGAGTAACCACCATCTTACCTGTTTCTGCTGCCAAATAACTGTGCCTGCACTGCTGCGTTCCAATATGAAGGGTAGGTATAGAAAGTCCAGTAAAATTACAAGCTCTGGGGAATTCCATTTGAGTCCTGCTCAGGTTTATACACATCCGTAGCCTTCTTTGTTTGAACTAGGCTGCAGTTGTTCATTGATTGCTGTAGCCATTTACCATCAGGTGGACTGAAAGTTATCTTATCACTTAGGTCGTACAAAAATATTAATAATTACTTGCAATGGAAACCATCACGCCATTTCGAATCATGGGTTTCGTAATAGGTATTTTTATTGAATAGGCTACGAAGACTTCACCACTGGTTTCTATTTCATTTATTTATTTATTTTTGTATAAGAGGGGGCAAACGAGCATGCGGCTCTTCTGATGGTAAGTGGCTACCGCCACCCATGAACAACTGCAACCCCAGGGAATTGCAGATGCGTTGCCGGCTTAAAAAAAGATAAGGCTCTTTTCTTGAAGGTCCCTAAGTCGTATCGGTCCGGAAAAATCCCTTGTAGTAGTCGATTTCACAAATAAGTTATGCGAGGAAGAAAATTTTTTGTAAATCGCACAGTAGTGGTCCGTCAATCATCCAGGCTGTAAGTATAATACCTTGAGTTTTGTTGAGATGTGCGACAGTGAAATTGTGCAGCTGAAGTTAATCTGAGCACTTCCCTTGGTAAATACGGTAGAATACGCAAAAAGATGCAACAACTGTTCGTAACGCCAATGAGTCAAGCCGATCAGAAAGTGCTCTGTCGCTAACCGCTCTGCGTTGGATGCAGTCATATGGAAGGAGCTGGCACAGGGGTGCCCCGGTCCAAAGATGGAAACAGTACTCCATGTGAGGCCTACCAATAGAAAGTGGTAAAAAAAAAACATTTTTACGCCCTAAAATACCAAGACTGGCAAGAGACAACAGCGTTCATATCCGGCAGTAAATTCTTACCGGCTAACTAAAAAGTAAATATAGATGAGTTTAACAACGATGTTATATAAAAATAATCTCAAACAAAGTGTCCCAATATGATAGGTAAATTAATGACTGATCAAATGTAAAATAAATCATGTCATTAATCACCTATAATAAAGCAGGCACTGATCATAAATATTCAATTCAATCATTAGAAAAATGTCATAGATAACTAATATATAATGTCTAAAGTTAACATTTGAATAATACTAAATGATAAAATAATTTTTCGAATAATAGTTGTATCAAATTTTTCCTATGTTAATTTTATTCCAAAGATGGTTCAAGGATATTATTAAATGTCGGTATTTTTAAACGGCACGTGTAACATTTTTTATGATCTGTGGTTGTAAGATTATAATTTTAATTGCATATGTGTGCGCGAATGCGTGTCAATAATATTAGCATGGTTTCAGTATATACATGAGTAAAGAAATTCGGCGTCACTTTAAATGTACTACGTACGTTCTATGTTTCTTGATACAAGTTTAGAATAAAGAGGTTTCTAGAACTTATGACCAATACAAGAGTAGAATGAAATTTTCCTAATAAAGTGGCTTGCAAAGTCCACTGTTGAAAATAAGCCTCCCCATAAATTGGGGGACGGTTATTTTGAATTACCACATAATTATCACGCTTGGTAGGTAACCGCAGCAGATGCTGTTGCCTATTCTTAACATGACGTTTCAAGGTCATGCGTCGGATTAACTACTAGTATTGGAAAGACGCAATTTCGATACTTCTGGCAAAACTTTAATGGCTTTGTGGCGCAGTGGCCTAACAATGATTTGCGGCGCTGAAGACCGCGGGTTTGAATCCCGCACAGAACAAATATTTGTTTGGACTACAAATTATTGTTCCTAGTCTTGATACTCGTCCAATTCTGCATGTAAAGTGCCTCCACGAGACAGGAGACAATTTTATTATAGAGGAAGACAGAAGATATAACTATTTTAATTCTACAATTTTAATCATATACTTTTTTAAATTCAACGCTTTCGATTAATCTCTTGGAAAGCCCCTAAAATGGTACTGTAATTCAACAAAGATGGATGTAACAGTAATTTGCAAGTACTTTTCAACTTAAGTGATGTAAAGCTCTAACAAAGAGAACGAGCTTTAAACATTACAAGATTTTTCATCATCATCATCATTCCAACGAATGCAACAAAGCACGGTCCTGAGCCACCTGCATCCATCGACTACCTGCATGTCTACCAGGTCGTCACTCCATCTAGTGGAGGGGTCGCCCTAGACCCTACCTAATGGTACGAGGCTGCCACTTGAGAAACTTTTTTTCCCATCGGTTGTCGGTTCTTCGAGCTATATGGCCGGCCCATTGCCACTTCAGCTTACTAAGCCCTTGAGCTATGTCTGTCACTCTGGCTCTACTGCGGATATCCTTCAGCTCACCGTCATCTCTTGTGCCTAGTTTTACGTTGAACTCTCCCATTAACACCGTATAGTGAGTTTTAAAGAAATGCATGGCTCTAGAAATATTCTCATACATTTCCTCCACCTCCTCATCGGGATGTTCCGACGTTGGTGCGTAAACCTGTATGACCTTCATCGAATACCGTTTGGTGATTCTGAGTATAAGGTACGTAACCCTCGTCGACACACTCCCAATCTTCATAACTTTGTTAACGAGAGACTTGTGGACGATAAATCCAACACCTCCTTGGGACAGATGGTCGCCCTCTCGATGATAGAACAAGTTGCCGGATTCAAGAACTACCGCGTCCTCCCCCTCTCTTCGGAGCTCGGATAATCCTATAATATTCCAGCGCAACTTGTCTATTTCTTCTTACAGCTCCAGTATCTTATCGTCAGCAGGGTGCGTGTGTTGTATGTTGCCAGGTCGAGTCATCTTAGGCGGCAACCGATCCTCCACCGAAGATTTTAAGCACCCCCTGCCCCTTCGTTATCACGGTCGCCACCGAAGCCAGGAATAGCGAAGGTGCCGGTGGCTGGGTAAAACCTTTTATTTGTGTCGTTGCTCATATAACCTCC